GCGAGGTCACACACCAGACTGGATGGATCGGAACAAGGGTGCATCCAGGGATGGAGTTAAGTAAACAGACACCAGGATCGCTCGCAAGTGATGAAGAGCATCACTTTGCGAGATATCGGCCCAACGAGGCCTGTGACCATCGTATTCCGGAAGGCAGTCCATTTAGACGAGGCACCGAATGTAAAAGTAAGGCATTACTAAAACAGACCTCGCCTTAACGGGTACGTGCCGGTAAAAACCATGATCCTGGAACACAATTGGCGACGGGTCATGGGGGCGCTTGGCAGACGCTGCACCGAACCGTGGTGCGTTGGAGAGAGAGGGCATCAACTTTAGGGAAGGGTACGATAACAGACCCAGAACGGGGTGATAGTCCCTGATGTAGCTGATATTTACTCCTCGGAGAAATTTCGGTAAAGTCCGGTGGGCTATCATTTTGCGTCGCGTTCCTTGAGAGCACTAGGGAGAGGGGCAAACGCGATCTACTCTAAATCGTTTTCACTGTCTGTAAAATCACAACCCAACTTTAATTAAATTAAATTCAAATTCCCTATGAGGATTTCCAATAGGAATTCTCGTATATCCCAGGAGACTATACGTAGTGTGAACCCGATCACGGCTCTCCTAGAGATCGGCTAGCATGGCACACCCATCTATCTATTTTGTTACGTGCCGTGTTGCGGTCGTTTCTCTACTTATAATTTCGGGCCCTGGCTCTTTTAAGGTGCTAAAGCACGCCCTGTCTAAACTTATCGGTGAAGTACGCGGTTTGGATTTGGAACGGGAGGAATAGGAAATCACTCTCGTTTATAATAATAATAAAGATATATTCTAACAATCAAAATATTGGGAGTACAAATTAGTTCGGTCCGTTTTTTTGTGGTGAAAAATGTATTTATTTCGAGAACAAAATGAATTAACAGATTAATCAAAGTATTGTCCATCGCTGTTTACTACCCACCTCTCAGGCAATTTTCGAATTCCATCTCGAAAAAATATCTCGTCTTTTGAGGCGATCCAAGTTACAAGCCAATTTTCGATTTCTGCGAAAGAAGTGAATCTGTGACCTGCCAAATCGTGCTGCATCCGTCGGAACAACCAGTAATCAGAAGGAGCAATGTCCGGCGAGTACGGCGGGTGCGGTAAAATATCCCACTTGAGCGTTTCCAAATAATTTTTCACAACTTTTGCGACATGAGGCCGAGCGTTATCATGCAGAAGAATGACTTTGTCATGTCTCTGATCGTATTCCGATCGTTTTTGTCGTAATGCACGGCTCAAACGAATCAATCGCAGCCTATACCGATGGCCCGTAATGGAATCGCCAGGTTGTAGCAGCTCATAGTATACAACACCCTTTTGATCCCACCAGATACACAGCAGAACCTTCGAACCATGAATATTCGGTTTTGGTGTTGATGTTGAGGTCGATGGCAATGATTGACCTGGCATAGCGTAGTATTTTTTCTTCTTGGGGTTATCGTAGAATATCCATTTCTCATCCCCAATCACAATCCGATGTAAAAAAACCCTTTCTTTGTTGCCTTTGAATCAGCTGCTCGCAAGTGAAAAATCGCCTTTCCATGTCTCTCTGTTTCAGTTCATACGGCACCCAATTGCCTTGCTTGTGAATCATTCCCATGGATTTCAATCGTACGGAAACTGCTTGTTGGGTAACTCCCAATGATTCTGCAAGCTCCTCTTGAGTTTGACTCGGATCTTCATCGAGTAATGCCTCCAATTGTTTGTCTTCGAATTTTTTTGGCTGTCCAGAGCGAGGCTTGTCTTCAACGCTAAAATCACCATTCTTAAAGCGTCGAAACCATTCCCTACATGATTTATCAGTTGGAGCATTGTCACCATAGACTTCAACAAGCATTCGATGTGCTTCAGCTGCACTTTTCTTCCAATTAAAGCAGAAAACTAAATCTCTCAGAAACAATTGAAATCAGTTGTCACTTTGAAGTTGTCATCTTTTGAAAACGGACCGAACTAATTTGTGCTCCCAATAGAAATAAAAGATACAAATAAGTCTTAACATACCAATGGTGATGAAGATGAATGATACGCTCGTGTCGCTTTCAGTCGGTTCGATCGAGATTTCGAGTCCTTGAAAGGGCGGAAGACTCGCTGGCGCTCGGAGCCGTGATACAGGGTTTAAGCACTGCGGGATACGTTGTCGCCGTCTCGGACGTTGCACTTCGCGGTCCGGTGTCTTATAAAATTCGTCTGTAGGCGTCGCTTTAGTAATTACTTACCTTTCTGCACCGATAAATCCATGGGAATTTGAAAATTCCTGACAGAAGTAACACTCAAACTTTGTTCGCTGTGATTCTCTTCATCGGAATCAACAGAATCCGTGGACGATCTGTCCGGCCTGTTTCATCGCTTCACTTTACATTCCAATTTTTTGATTCTTTTCCATAATTTATACTCTTCCCTATCATCCTTCAATGTCTTCTTCTTATGTTTAGCCATAATTAACACCAATAACTTTTGAAATACCCAACAATTTTTCAAAAACTACACACTAAAAATGTTATGAGTAGACGAAGCAGGGAGCGGTGCCTTTTGCGGAAGACGCGCGAGCGCGCCATTTTTGAAATTCAAAACACTAAAATCGTGGTTGGTTGTAGGTACACAGAATGGTATTACATGTGTAATCTCGAGGGCGAGTCTCGAAGTATAATCACTTGCTTTATGACATTGTTACTATACTTACGTGTAGATAACTTTGTTCGAATGCACATTTTCATGGACTTACTTGTTAACACAAAACTTCAGGTCGTTGGTCAATTTTATTACTGAAGGAATAGTCAGGTAGAGAATCGACAAGAAAAGGCGCAACAATCATCGCCTTTACTTACTGTTCCTTCGGTAATTAAATTACCCAGTTACCTGAAAGCCCCGTCCACCGTTTAGGTAGGTTTATAAAAGTACTTGATTTTTCTATAATTACATAAAATTCTTGTCGGATCGGGAGATGCCTCGACGCCAACTGAATACAATGGAAGTAAGTAGTAATATTTATAATAATGTATAATATTTTCGTAAATAAAGTATATACAGGGTGATTCTCTCGCTGCACAAAATAAAAGGCCGTGCCGCTCTAAACAACCCCACTATTAAAACCGTGTCGACGCATGTAAATCTATCAACGGGCCCTCACTGTCGATGGTGGAGAGGGTGACACAGTTGTCACCGCTCCGGCGATATCGCTCCTGTACCATCGGCAGTGAGGGCCCGTTGACCGATTTACACGCGCCACACGATTTTCTATGATGCGGGTCAAAATGCTCGGGTTTGGCTTGACATTGCACGAAGTCATTAGCTATGCGTCGAGCCATTAAAATCGACCCTTTCATATGTGTTCTGCAACGCGTGTTGCACAAGTGTGGACCTGCCTTTAGGCCCTATTTTATATACTCGCTACACGTCAGACATACCTACCACAGCAAATACTTCAATATTCACATTTGCGGATAATACCGCAATTCTCTAAACGAATGAAAATATCAAGATAGCAACAAAAAACCTGAAAACACAGATCCTGGCACGAGAAACATGGCTGAAAACCAAAAAAATTAAAGTTGACGCATCAAAATGCAACCACATCGCATTTACCCTCAGAAAAAATGTCCAGAAAATTTATATATAAATCACACACCCGTTCCGCAAATGGAAAATGTTAAATACTTAGGTTTACACCTGGACAGTAGGCTAACCTGGAAACATTTATATTGTACAAAAAATACAACACAAAAAAGGTAATGAAAAGTTTATATTAGCTACTCAATAAGAAGTCCAAACTCCACAAGCAAAATAAACTTCTAATATATAAAACAATTATCAAACCGATCTGGATGTATGGCGTCCAGTTATGGAGTATGGCTGCCAAACCAAATATCGCGAAAATGAAACGTGTTCGATCAATTTATCTAAGACAAATTTTAAATACTCTATGGTACGTTAGAAATGATAACATCCGCAAGGATATAAAAGTATCTCAAGTTCAAGAAGAAATAACCCGTCTCACAAAAAAACAAAGAACGAATAGATTCTCACACCAACCTAACAACTTCTATATGTTTCGAACCAATTTCGAGAAGACTAAAACGGTAACACGTCATAGATCTCCTTAAGTAAAAGATAGGATCTATTCAAAAATATAGTAAATATTGTGAATTAAGCGCTTTTCCCGCAATGGTTTGAGCCACATGTTAACTTTAATAACTATTACGTGTATTTGCTAATCTTTGTAACACTCCTCGTATACAAGAATGATACACTATCTATTTTTATGGACAGCCCAAAATTGCATATGACATTTAACCATATTTATTGGATAATTTCGGTGATTTATTCGGTCATTCGGTGATCACCTAGAATTTTTTGGATTTTGTAAACTAGTGTAATTAAAGTTCGCTATTTATCAACCATAACATCATTATTACAAACATTATGCGTTAATTTCGTACTCATATGCGGAATAAAATATTTATTTTAAATAAAACCATTAATTTTTTAAGGATTTTTATTTGATTTTATGAAAATAAACATTAAAAAATATTCCTTTTGCATGATGACTGCTAAAAAACTAAACTTCGAGTAATTCGAACTAAAACTATATAGATATGAAAGTCAAATTTTGAATTAAATAATATTAAATTAATAAGGGCGGCGATAATGTTTTTGCACCCGGGCGGCAAACCACCCAGGAACGGCCCTGTATAGCCCGGTCCAGTTACTAGAATCACCCTGTATAACTATTATTTCATAAATAAATCTGTCAGCCAATGCGAAATCATTTCTCGCTGTTTGTAGCGTAATGTGACGCGTGGCAGCTGGCCCATGTTCGGAATTGTTGCCAAATTGACATTCTTAGATCTAATCCAAGAGCTTCGGTATTGTTGGATCTATTGTTAGTCTGCTCGAGCCATGTGACGATTAAGGGACTAAATTATATTTAATGCAGAAAGATACCTCGCTACGATTCTTACCCGTTAATTTCAGCTTTGCCCGAATATGTATCACACTCTCGGTTTCAGAATCCGAACCGACCCAATATGTAGTACCGCTGCGATCCGAATCACTTTGCAGATCGTCAGACGTTTCCTCTAAAATCGTCTCTAAGAAGTCGACCTGCTGCACTAGCACCGTATCTGCAAAGCAGTAATAACATTATTAGCATCATTTACGACAGTACTGATGAAATCATATCTTAACCCACGTGCCAACCGCCATGACGGTTCGAATAGCAAAAAATACGCAGAAATTATATACTGTTTTAATATTCCAGTTAGAACGATGCAGAATCTTTATATGCTTGTATTTCTATATTGGGTTTTGACATTAGGAGCGCCACCGTAGTTCTGAACTCTGTAATCGGGTCAGAAATGCCATACGAGCGTCGTATACCACTATAAATACATAGACGATTTTTAAAAAGAAATACCGTAATATTTCCGTCATTAAGCAGTGTTTGAATTTATAAATTCGACGTCCAACAGTATAAATTTCATAGGAGAAAAATTAATCGCTGCAGGCCACATAATTTGTTGTGGAATGTCTACTGAAAACGAGGATCAATATGAATTAACGGCTTTTTACCTACAAATATTTTATTTAACTAAAGAGCATTCTCATCAAGTGGCAATAATTATTGAAACAAATAATAAAATTAAATTTACAAAATGCAGCTGTAAGGCTAACCTTAATGAAAAGTGCAAACATTTTTGTTTTAAACAACAAATGATAAAACTGACAATTAACTTGTCATATAATAACTTGACATATAAAAAATTAACATAAATTGTAAATACAAATACTTATGATTATGTGTGAAAACATACGTACATTTAGCTGGAAAAACATCATAGGTATTTTTTTACACACAAAAAGCAGATATGCATATAGAATGCTACTTTCTTTCAATTTTTAATATTTCCTTCCACATTTTTAAACAACTACTTCTCTCATTATTTCCGAAATCATGTGTTAACAATTATTATTGCATTAGGTTCAGGAAAATAATGAAAACATGCAGTAGTGTTGGATGTAGTTCCGAAAAGGATTCATCTTTCGATTTTGATAAAACATGGTAAAATTGTTTTAAATACTCTCAAATAAACATATGTAAAAGGTTTTTTAGAGCATTAGAAAATTAATATACATACATTTATAAATATATAGAACACTATAATATAATGGAATACTATAAATTTCATCAAAATCGAAAGGTTTTCGGAACCGCAGCCACAGTGTCGATACAAGCTTTGCTATTACGTCCATACACACATCTTGCTTGTGGTTTCTATTGGTGGAAATCAAACTTTTGATATATGTTTAAATTCTTTAAATTAAATATTTAGCGTATCTAGCGTATTAAAACAAAACATTGTGCTTCGAATGATCAAGAACAGTACTGACTCCGTATGTTACATGTGATAGTTGACCCGATTTGACTGCTTCTTTTTTTCGCCACCAGATTAGGTGACGTAAATGAGTAAATCCTAATAGTGTCGTCTTCTGCTAATTCCTAAGTTATTTAAATGCTTTTTTGTAATATGAAGTATTATATAAAGAGCGAGTCGATTTTTATGTTCACGCAAAACTTCAGAACTACTGAACCGATCTTCCTCAAATTTTAACACGATATCCTTGAATACTCTAGGACGAACACGGGCTACATAGCATATCTCAAAAACGCGTTATTAAACTGTAATTTACATGTAAATTTTTTCATGTTTCAAGCTGTATGCAGATCACGTGACCCGCGTGTACGAGTGCTACTTCGCACACGCATGCGCATACTCGGCCCACGCGATACCTTACGTCAGCGCTAGGCAACGTAGGGGCACCTAACGCGCCTGTTTCCCCTTCCAACCTTTCTTTCGCACCGTGTTTCTTCGTAGAAACAAAGAAGCCCAGATTCTTGTCCCTGTCACTCCATGGTAATGGTGGACGGTGGTGGGGTCAAGTTTTAGCTCCCGGGAGCTAACTGTACCCACTGCTGCCTTAAGGTCGGTTTACACTATACGGCACCAGTGATGCCAGAATCGTGGGATAACCGCGCGAGCGCTTAGCCTCTCCATGCGTATTCTACTACACAAGCATATCTACCCTGCTGTGAACTCTACCCCACTACGTCCTAGCTGGCGACTCCCAACACAAGCGTTTCCTACCTCTGTCCGTGTGCGCTCTGCTTCGGCAAACTTCGGCTGTTCTCGGCAAAAATCCTACGTCACATATTTACGACGCGACGGCCGAGCGGACCGAATGGCCGCCCAAACCAAGCCAAAATCCCAAGCAACATACCTATACGCCGAGAAACGCATGAATTCTCTCACGCGCTCATGATGAAGACACCGTCCGAAACCCCGTTCGTATCCCGATGCGAAGTTTTTATTTTTAATTATTGTATAATTTCATTTTGTAATATGTCAGTAAAATAAAAGCTTTGAAGATATTAATTTAAGAAGCATTTTTAAAAAGTGGGAGGTGTATTTATTCCTTTTTAATATTTAAATTTTGTATTACACAAATACATATTCTCTTATATATACACAAATTATTCTTACAACTAGATTTTACCTTTATTCTACCTATTGCAGTACATACATATGAAAACATTGAAAGAAAAATCCATTACATTAATATGTTACACGTTATAAAAATATCTCGAATCGTTTACAATGTGTTACTTTTACATTTTATTTTTCATTATTGTGTAATTTTACTGTTTAATCTGTTAGTAAAATGAAAGCTTGGAAGATATTAATTTGAGAAGCATTTTCAAAATTATATTTTTTTGTTTAGCTGGTCCATGCATATGCGATGTCGAACGATTCGTTGCTTTTCTACATCTGAAAACAAATAAGCACATAGTTGAAATCTGAATGGGAATAATAGAAGATAAAATATTAAGGTTGCTATAAACTTATCTTCCTTTTGAGTTATCCTAATGTATTCTTCCTCCTATTTTATTCCTTTCTTTAGATTTGATGTCGGTGAGCATGGAAAATATGCATGGAACAACCACACATCGTCTTTTCTTTTTGTCCTCTAAATACTGACACATGTAATCAGTCCTCAATATGGACTTTCTTTATTCGCGGTATACGTACGGTAACGCTTCTTTCTAAATCTCGGAAATTTCTAACCACCCCTTTTGACATAATGGGACAATAATGTATTCGGCGCGCGTATAAATGCATTTTCAAAATTAGATTTTTTATTAATGATACATTTCAAGTTGCCGAGTACCGGTGCACTTGATCCACGCACATGTGGACATGTGTGTGCTAGAATAAGTTCAGAAACGATAAGACATGCACGTGATGCAGCGATACGAAGATTGCAACTTTGCATTGACGCAAACGGTCACGACTTCGAACATCTCCTGTAATGTAGGAAAGTTTACTTTACTACCACATTTGACCTTGTATGACTTTCAATGGTAGCTCGCTGAAGTTGTCTCAACGCCGGCTATCACATCGCAATAAAAACAAACATAGTATTCCATTAAAAAAAATAAAGATGACCTTGAAATCTCCTCTATGCCTTCACCCACGCAGAAAATGTGTGTGTCACAATATGCCCCCCTCTATACCGTGTAACTTTTGTATATAACATTTTTTTATATTATTACAAATAACGGCAATATTCAAAGTGGACATAGTTATTGTCCCACCCTGTATATACAGGGTATCTCATCCGATTTTGATATCTTGATTTTCTCGCTATTGTTACTCGTAGCAAAAAATGTTCCAGCGGAGGCTTGAATGGTATTGAGTTGAGCATATTCAATGTTATTAGTTTTTTCGTGAGTAGACGCATAAAGGTCAACTTTGTGTTTTTAAATAAAATGAGGTACTTTTTAATACATCAATCGATATAGTGAGGACAAAAGTATTCGTACACCCTTAAAAACGGAACAACTTTTTTCAAATTTGTCCGAGTGACGCGTTCTTTTGTGAAGTTAAGAACATTAGTTTACTAAATGATGTGTAAAAAAAATTTGAAAAAGTTGCAAATGGTCCGAATCTCGAAAAAAAATAGTTGTTTTCTACAACTTTTTTATTTGAGACTGTAATGAAAATTTAATAAATATATTTCGACAATTTTTGTTAGTTATATACATGTTGAAAATTATTAAAACGATTAAAAATGTTGAAAATCACAGTTTTTCGCGATTTTCCACCTACAACTGTAGTAAATGTAACAATTCTTACATCTTTTGATGACTGTGGCTCGTTTCTGTATCAATCGATTTCAATGAAAGTTTCAGTACGTATATAACTAACATAAATCTTCGACATGTATTTATTACATTTTTATTATAGCCACAGATTAACTTTTTACTATTTTCTTCGCGATTCCGAACAATTACAACTTTTTCAATTTTTGTTACACATCATTTAGTAAACTAATGTCCCTAACTTCATAAAAGGGGTATATCGGGGTATAAATTGCTTTTGCGTATTTGTTCGTAGTCTTTTTGACTGTTGCCAGTGACTATAGACATAATTAGACTACGGATGCCATTGTTGTCGAGGGGACATGGATTTTGGATGCCTGAGGAACCCAGAGCGAAGTTAGGTGTCTCTATCACCACAGATGATATTCTCGTCTGTGCTGTCGCATACGTCATACATCCATATATGTATATCCTACATGTATGCTGCAGTGTGACTGTGTTTCATACTCTTATAGTAAAATAGAGCAAATGGCCCTCGTTCTCGAGGCACAAATTCATGACACCTTGACAACAATGACTTCTGTAGTCTTATTATATCTGTAGTCACTGCTGTTACTATACATGTCCCGAGTGCGATCGAATCTGTCATGATCATGCACTACTGCTTTTGTTTTCAAATTAATTAATTTTCTTAAAAGATAATTCTAATTAGGGATAGTACTTTTACCCGGGTACCCGAAATACCCGAGTAAACAAAAATTACTCGAGTACGCGGGTACCTGTGAGATACCCAGGTAAACAAAAATTACCCGGCAACCCGGGTATCCATGACATATCAAAATTTACGAGATAGTCGAGAATCTTGATTCGGGAGTCGATCATTTTTCAGCCATTTTCGATCGGTATCGGCAATGAACGGAATAAACTGAAGAAATATAGTGTTATTAAGACACTCATTTTTTATATTCACAGCTTTTTGTCCAATCATTATCATTGGAGATAAAAATTATAAATCAAAAATTTCTGTCCGTCTGAAGTAAATAATTTTTGAAACATAAATTGAGATAACTTGAGCAAATATTAACGGATCGTTATGACACTTAAAACATAACTTCCGAAAATTGTAGCGAAGCCGTGAAGTGCATGCACAAAACCCTTATTTAAAAAAATGTAATAATATTTAATTACAAAGTAATACCGGGTAGAAACCATGTTTTTCAACATTCGCCGATAAAGATTATCGAGGCAATTTTGAGGAATATTAATTTTTTCTTAATATACCTACATATACTACACGGCATCTGTGAAAAGAAAAGTGTGCAGGAAGAAAAGGCAGACAAAACGCAATTGAAAAAGGAAAGATAGAAAAAAATAAAAGAAAAATGTCATAAAAGAACAGAAACAACACATGATGTAGATACCTTACAAACATTTACGCGTATAAATATTGTAATAAAAACGCTAATAAATATTTGGAAAATAATATTGCAATATTCTTTTGTAATCAGTAATCATATAATAATGAGTAAGTCATGTTTTTACAATGTAACGTTGGTGCTAATTGTAAGTAACGCAGTATATGCGGCTGTGATCGACTCCCGAATCGAAATTCTCGACTGTCTCATATATTCGGATATCTTATGAATACCCGGGTAATTTTTGTCTACCCGGGTATCTTATAAAGTCACAGCTCTAATTCTAATTAACATGAATGAGTCACGCTAATATCTCGGGAGAAGACTAGACGGGGGACGTTATATGTACTATATAAACATACTACATACAGTAGACATTCGTTTGCTGCGCTACCGTTATTTGCACGGAAGCCATGCCCCCTGCTCACACGTATTTCTCACACACGTGCGCGTACCCTACTCTATCGCCCAGCACGTCCAGGCTGGAACACATACGGTGTCGTATTTAAGACGCATATCTCATCACAGAAAGCGAAATGTATATAATACTGTTTTAATAATGTTTTTATTGGTGCAATGAATATTGATGGAATGAATATTGGTGGCCACTTGATTGCTTCTTGTCTCACGGATCACACGTAATGGGTAAAAGATGCTAACCAAGCTAGACATTTGCCACTAAAATATGTCACGAATTATTACCTTTTTCACATAATATCTTAATACTTTATTACGCAGAATGTTTGGAAAAATCGATTTATGTAATAAAAGTATTTTATTCCATAATATTTCAATATCATTAATAAAAATAACATAATTAACTTTGAAAACTTAGAAGATGCTCCGACTACGAAAATCTTGTTACTGCTAAGTAATAGCTCTCTTCATACTGAACAACTTCTGTGAATAAATTTTCTAATATCTCTAAAAATAACGGAGATAATTAATGTAACCGTAAACTGCGCATATCCAGCCCACCCTATATATAGCTGCGTCGCACGACTGATCGGCCGAGTGGTGGGGAAAGCGCTCGGGTAACTGGTCACCGATTCCTGCACGGTTCCTGGAATTCTGGCCCTCCACAGCCCCACTAGTGCGGTTAACGAATGTCTACTGTATAATGACAATAGAATGTATGACAACCATGAATACCGATGATCACGAATATCGAGTTTTACAACATATTTACAACATCTTTTCCCGAGTTCTGTTAGTATATTATTAATATTATAAAGCCGTAAAGTTTGTTTATTTGTATGAAGTAATCTAAGGAACTATTGTACCGATTTGAATGATTATTTGACCATCCTACAGCTAATACCTTCCCGATGGACATATGCTGTTACATATTAAAAAATTTGGATAATAAACAACAAAAAATTGAATAATACGTAATACGTGACGTTACGTATAAAAACAATATCATTAGGAATTAAATTAGTAGGAATAATTTAATTAAAATAAAATTGATATACAAATTCATATTTTACTTTCAAAACATTAAGGAAATATTGAGATTTGTTTATTACGCTACGACGTTAATGGCTAGACTCTAGACAATTAAGAAATGCTCTAAACCCTGTGTAATTCCACGAGAGCGAAACCGTGTGGTGATTCTAGTCTGTAATATTAACACAATGTAACCTTGACCGAAGCGCTAATCGCCATGATGATCCAAGTAACAAAATGTGCGTAGAAATGATCATTTTCTCTAATATTCTAGCTATCAATCCTGCAGGATTCTTATTTTCCCCGTACTTCTATCTTCTTATCTTTGAATTTCTCTTGCACTTTTGTCTTTTTCTTCATAATAAAGCAGACACGAGAGCTATTACGACTACATAGTGATGGGACACCAAGCCGGATTCAAGTCAATCAACTCAGATGACGTCACGGAACCTCAGCTCGCGGCGACGATATCTAATCCCTATTGGGTTTTGACATTAGCAGCGCCACCACAGTACCAAAGCTCTGTAATCGGATCAGAATTTCATACGAGTGTTATAAGTATATGTGGAAAGCAGTGTAAACAAACGATTTTTTAAAAGAAATAGATTGCAGAATGTTTCTGACATTAAATAGTTTATTTGAATTTACAAATTCTACATCCAATAGCCGTAATGTCATAGGGGAGAAGAATTAATTAACGCAGGCCACTTAATTTGTTGTGGCATATCCAGTCACAATGATATTAACTACCAATTAACAGCTTTTTGTCTTCAAACATCAAACTTGATGGAAGAGCATCCACATGAGATAACGATAATTATCGGAAAAACAAATAGAATAAAATTTGAAAAATGTAGCTGTAAGGCTGGTTTAAGTAAAAAGTACAAATATATTGTTGCAACTTTAATCTTTTGCACCAGGTAAATACAGCTTCATGCAATACAATTTTGAAAATTTTTTAAATTGTTGATTTTACAACCGTCTTTGTCTTGACGTCTTTTGTCGTCGGCGGTTCAAACATAACGACAAAAGAGAATATGAAACAAAGAACACGTGACGCTTGCGTTTCAGTGACTCCCGAAATGTTAACAAATGTTAGAACAACTCTGATGTTTCGAGTAGATAAATGTTTACAAGTCCGTGGTGGACATTTTGAACATTTAATTTAAAGACCATTTTATTTCTTCACGAATAAGCAAAGGACTCAAGCGCGTATATATCAATAACGCAATTTCTGAGCGCTTCAAGTAAGTACCTACAAGTCGAAACTTCAAACCGTTATATCTCATCATAGAAATATCTGACAACAAAATGTTTCAGACAAAATTTACTTGTTTTTTCCTGTAGAATCTAAATATGTAACGTTTTATAGGGGGTTTCATTTAAAATTATAAAGGTGCCCCCGCCCCCCCCCCTTAAAGGGGAAGGGGGTCCACTTCATATTTATCTAGTTAGAAAGGCCCTTCAGATTCATGCAATTTAAGACCAAGAACTTTAAAATCGATGGCATAGTTTTCGAGATATTGAGCTGTTATATCGCTGAAGACTACAACATACCTAAATTTCAACAAAATCCGACATGGTGTTCGAAAAAGTGTCTGATTTCGCGTGTAATGACCCTAAAACAATAATTGCTCCAATTCAATATTAACTACAGGTATAATTTTCTTTTTTTATTGTATTATAGAAATGATATATCTAAATTAAATGTCCTGTCATGCACTGACATGAAGTGCATATGGAGTGCTCCAAGAAGTACTTCATTAGAATATTATAAGCCATGTCCTCTAAAAGAGCATGCATGCTTACAAATTAATAGTTACAAAACAGTACACAAAATTTCAAAAGATGTGAAAAAATTGATACAGGAAAAATTATATTCAACGAATTCTGCTTCATCAGTGCATATGTATGGGAATCAGTAATTTAATTTTACATCAATTTAATTTAGTTTATTTAAACTTCTATAATATCCAGACAAAAGTACCTAAAATCCCGATTAATGATCATCAATTTTCATACGTATATTTTCTATTATTAGAGCTGGACGCCATGCTCCCATGGAGATAGATGTAAAATTATCTCCTCCTGAATATTTCTCCAAAATCCAATTTCTTTTTAAGCAACAATCTTGCTCACTGTTTTTAAAAACATTGTCACGTATACCCTACAAACCTCTCAGAGGATGCTGTGAATGCATGATCCAAAAATATCAAGGTGATGCTATTAATATATGCACATAAAGTAAAGATTCCTTTACAGTGTGGAAGAAGGAACGACAATTTAGAGTTACGGGCAGTAGATGTTATCAATTATATACATACAGAAATAATCCCAAACCTGATTGGGAAAGAAAATCTGTAAATTACTTTTATCCAAAAGATCTTTCGAATATATACTTAAAGCATGGTTTAAAATATGATCCTATTACCAGAAAACTGTATGCACAGATTCATTCTGTTTATATTTTTGAATAGGGTTTAATAATATCAATTCTAAATCCTTGGCTTGGATACTCTCCAGATGGAATCATATTTGAAGGATACATACCTTCAAAATTAATTGAAATAAAATGCCCTTATGAAGGAATAGCAAAAAATATAGAATAGGTAGCCAAATATTTAGTGTATTTGAAAGTAGATAAGCAAAACAATTTACTTCTAAAAAAAAGCATTTTTATTATGCGCAAATACAATTTGGGATAACCATTTTACATATAAAAAGACCTGTTTGGTTTTATATGCACCGTATGACAATTCTATGAAAATTATAGTTATTAATTATGATGAAAAGTTTACACAAGAGTTATTTATACTTCTGAAACAGATTTTTTTTAATAATATGATCCATTTTATGTACTCAAATGTACATATTTAAACACTTGTATAGTATTTCTAGCAATTCAGTTAATTTTTTTAAGTCAATTTTACAATTAATGAAGAACACTACTTTGTTTTATTAAAATGTGTATCTTTATATATCTATTATAACATTATTTTAATTAATTGAATTTGTATTCTTTCAAAATTGGCGCGCTCAAATTTCTTATATCACATATAATTGTGAATATTTCGTCACCCATTTTAACTAAGCCTAAGAGCATTCGGCAACTTAAAGCTTTAAATGTTTTGAGCCTCTGATTAGAACGCTTAATATGTACCCGAGCTTTGGCAGTCTCAGCACCAATAAGTGCTTCTTCCTTAGAAAATTGTGATTTTTCTTTCAACAAAAGAAGACGAATTAATTTGATATCATGATCTTTACATAGTTTGCCAACTGTAAATCCCCTATCGACCATAATAGCATCATTTTTGTCTAAGTAATTTATAATGTTGTTCTGTCAAAAATTGTATTATCGGAAGTTCTTCCATCATACATATTGCTCAACAAAAGATATGAGGCCACCAGGAGTCACTCCTGTCATAAACTTGATAGTTTATGTGTGTTTGTACTGTGAGTAAGTAGCTATTTGACAACATAAATTCTTAGGTTTCTATATAAATATTCCTATACAGTCTAATACTATTCTCACATCCTTAAAATTATTAAAACAAATAGGAACATTTCTGGAAATTTCGTCCATTGTTGCAAAATGAATTGCTTCCTTTAAACAATTCTACAAAATATCAATAGTATTTAAAATACTTCTTCTACAATTGGAAGATGAATGCTTTTTAAATAAAACTTTAAGGACTGAATATGAAATATTATGTTTTAATTTCATTAATGACATTATAATATTATTGCGAATACTTGTAGTGGTAGGAAGCATCGGGCAAGCGCGCGCGCGCACGTGTGTGTATGTGTGTGTGTGTGTGGTGAGCCTGGATGCGTGCAAGAAAGGAAATAAAAGACGGTGCGAGGGCTGCCGAAATGCGTCGCATCGTCGACGAAACGCAGTGTGACGACAACGGTCGACCTACAGGGTGTTTGACAGCTAGTGGGAAAAAATTTAAGGGGTGATTGTTTCAGGCAAAATAAGACGAAAATCAAGAATAACAAAATTGCGACAAATGTTTCGTTTGATAGTTATGAGCTTTTAAAGATTGACCCAAATAATAGCAATCCGCACGCACGGAGTGTCAGTGGACCATAGTTCGTAAGGGGCGTACAGTCACTTTAAAGACTCAACGACGTGCAGGAAAAGTCGGTAAAACAGCTGTTTACTACCTCGTGGAAGATGTCGATAACTTGTGCTCGCGGTATTTGAGTCGAATCCACTTGTATGGCATTAATTCTGATTACTCGATAAAATTCGCAAGAAATGTAAATATCTTCTTACGAATATTATCGAGTAGAGAGGGTTAATGCCCCCTCTAGTTGTCACGTATGACAATTGTCCTGTCCAAAGTATCCACGAAATTAATCCGCACATGTGCACGTGCACCACAGAAGTCCGCGAAAAGTGTCCACACACACTGTGCGATTGTCCTGTCCGCGAAAAATGACCACACACACTGCGCGATTGTTCCGTCCGCGAAAAATGTCCACACTCACTGCGCAATTGTCCCGACCACGAAAACTGTTCACACACTGCGCGATTAATTAGACCCGCGAGCGGTTCCTCCGTTGGGTTTAACACTCTACACGTTCAACAAAACTAACACTCAAAATAATTATTTTTTTAACTATTTAACACTAATTTTGAACCTACACTAAGTAATTTATAACAATTATTTATACTAATTTTTAACACGCTATAATTAATAAAACCTACAATATTTAATAAATCATGCAATAATTAATAAAACCTACAATATTTAATAAATCATGCAATAATTAATAAAACCTACAATAATTCATTTACACTACTTATAACGACGACGTACGCGACACTACTAAATAATCACTACGTAATCGCTAAATAAACTAAAACTGAATTTTCCGAACATGAACTCTATTTACTCGTAGAATGCAAAGGGCACCGTTCGGAAAGGACAACTGATATTGTTGAACTGATCCTTCCTCGTTAGGATCGATGTGACGTATTAGGTCGATCCCCACTCTTTCATGGTCAATACTTTTTGGGAAGGAAAAACTGCATCGGAAAGTGCCTTGGAGGTCGTGTTTCTTTTCGTATATTCTTAGAGCAACATCTGTATTTTTTTCTCATACACCATTCGGGGCCACTTGGCCATGATGCCGAGGGTGTGCGAGTTTGGATATTATAAAACTGTCTCTTGTCTTCTGCAGTGCGACCACCCGCGGGTTGCCTGCAACGTGTTGCTGCTATCGACGAAGACCTTGCCCATTGTGTTTTTGGCTGTCTCTCTTGACATTAACTTGTAAAAAGAACTTTCAACGCCGAATCCAAACTCCATGTTAGAAATGGTTTATATTACACAGAATGTATATGTTTAACAATTTCCTTTATTTTATTTTATGTAGTTTCTTCATGGATCGTAGTGCAGGTGTGGCAGATTTCATCTTAGTTTCATTCTAACATCAGTATATGTTTTGTATTATCCATGTTAATTGCATATTATTTTTTTGTGGATTCAAGAACCTCAAACACTTGGAGTAAGATCGAAGTGGTAACAAAATATGCAATGCACATAAAACATACAGTAAGTCAATATTCAATATTTCAGGAAGAAAGGTATCCTATCGAGCGAAGCTTCGAACGATAAGCAATTAACGCATGCACTCGTTTAAAAACATCGTTCGGCACCCCGCGACGGAGGACAAGGTCGTCTACACGTATGAATGACACCAGCCGCTTACGGTAGACCGACGAAGACGGCTTGCTACTTGAAACGGAGGGTGCCGCTGTTTATTCCTGAAATATTGAATATTGACTTACTGTATGTTTTATGTGCATTGCACATTTTATTACCACTTCGATCTTACTCCAAGTGTTTGAGGTCCTTGTATCCGCAAAAAAGTAATGTGCAATTAACATAGATCATACAAAACGTAAAATCATATTAGAATGAAACTAAGATGAAATTTGCCGCACCTGCACTACGATGCATGACGAAACTACATAAAATAAAATAAAGAAAATTGTTAAACACATACATTCTGTGTAATATGAACCATTTCTATCATGGAGTTTGCATTCGGAGTTGAAAGTTTTTTTTACAAGTTAATGTCAAGAGGGACGGCCGAAAACACAATAGGCAAGGTCTTCGTCGATGGCAGCAACATGTTGCAGGCAATCTGCGGGTGGTCGCCTTGCAGAAGACAAGAGACAGTTTTATAATGTCCAGCCTCGCACACCCTCGGCATCGTGGCCAAGTGGCCCCGTATGGTGTATGAGAAAAAATATAGATGTTGCTCTAAGAATATACGAAAAGAAACGCGACCTCCAAGACACTTTCCCATGCAGCATTTCCTTCCCAAAAAACATTGCTCACGAAAGAGTGGGGATCGACCTATTACGCCACATCGATCCTAACGAGGGAGGATCAGTTAAACAATATCAGTTGTCCTTTCCGAACAACTGATTCTTTGCAATTCTTTTCAATTCTAACTGAAACTTTTGCATTCTACGAGCAAATAGAGTTCATGTTCGGAAAACTAAGTTTTAGTTTATTTAGCAATTACGTAGTGATTATTTAGTAGTGTCGCGTCCGTCGTTGTTATAAATAGTGCAAATTAATCATTGTAGGTTTTATTAATTATTGTATGTTTTATTAAATATTCTAGGTTTTATTAATTATTGCAGGTTTCATTAAATATTGTAGGTTTTATTAATTATTCCAGGTTTTATTAAATATTGTAGGTTTTATTAATTATTGCAAGTTTCATTAAATATTGTACGTTTCATTAAATATTGTAGGTTTTATTAATTATTGCGTGTTAAAAATTAGTATAAATAGTTGTAAATTAATTATTGTGAGTGTTAGTTTTGTGTAACACGTAGAGTGTAAACCCGACGGAGGAACCGCTTGCGGGTCTAATTAATCGCGCAGTGTGTTAACATTTTTCGCGGTCGGGACAATCGCGCAGTGTGTGTGAACATTTTTCGCGGACAGGACAATCGCACATTGTGTGTGGACACTTTTCGCGGACTTCTGTGGTGTACGTGCACATGTGCGGATTAATTTCGTGGATACTTTGGACAGGACAATTGTCATACGTGACAATTAGAGGGGGCATTAACCCTCTCTACTCGATAATATTCGTAAGAAGATATTTACATTTCTTGCGAATTTTATCGAGTAATTAGAATTAACGCCATACATGTGGATTCGACTCAAATACCGCGGGCACAAGTTATCGACATCTTCTACGGGGTGTGTAGACAGTTGTTCTACCTACTTTTCCTGCACGTCGTTGAGTCTTTAAAGTGACTGTACGCCCCTTACGAACTATGGCCCACTGACACTCCATGCGTGCGGATTGCCATTATTTGGGTCAATTTTTAAACGCTTATAACTATCAAACGAAACATTTGTCGCAATTTCGTTATTCTTGATTTTCGTCTTATTATGCCTCAAAGAATCACCCCTTAAATTTTTTCCCACTAGTAGTCGAACACCCTGTATATACATATACATATTAATGCATTTGCACATGAATTACAATTAAACATGGTAAAGCACAGAACAGTAACATTATAAACTAATATATTGTAAAATACATATCATAATATGTCTCAATGCAGTGCATTAATACATTGATCATTAAGACGTACATAAATAGAATACAGTTATTCTAATATCTAAAATGCAACGATAAGAAACCAAGTATGGCTGTATAAAAAAAAGCAAAAAAGTGAGGAGAAAGAAGTTTTAAAAAATGCAACTGCCGAGAACGGCACCAGCGATCTAGCGACTCGTGGGTAGTGATGAATAATCGAGCCGAGTGACAAGATGCAAAGATAAGAAATATACAAAGATTCAGCAATATGCAAAGATAAGAAATATGCAAAGATTAAGTATGACTCAATAGGCCATAGAAACAAGTGTATATACTGTAAGTAGAAGATAAGTAACCTTAACTGCTTAGGAATATGTATATGGTTGGTATTTTTCTACTGCAGATACACAGTGACGAAATATTTTGTGTTAAACCGCGTACACACTGACTCGCTGAAAAATTCATTTCTGAATACTGAAAATTATAAAAAAATTCCTTTCTCGCGATTTTCACTGTGATGGGCAAGGGATGTTTAAATTTTAAAAAAATATTGTCATACTCTTTGAAATCTTACCTACAAAATGAGCTGTTCGGAAAGATAGTGCAATTACAATTACTCTCACAAAGACCTCTAAAAGTGGCTGGTGTAACCTCGTATCAGATAAATAATCCAACCGCGGAGCACAGCAGAGCAAACTGCTCTTTTGTGTGTCATGATCGTAGAACTTTTGATACAACTAAGATAGAAGGATGAATCAACGATCAAAACTTGCGTGTGACACTTTTTCCGTACTTTTCTCTGATTCTGCAATATCTTAGCATTAACCACGAAACAGATTCATTCTTCTATCTTATTTCTATCAAAAGTTCTGCGATCGTAACACAAAAAACAACAGTTTGCTCCACTCTGCTCCGCGGTTCGCTTATTTATCTGAAATGAGGTTACACCAGCCACTTTTACAGGTCTTTGTGAGAGTAATTGTAATTGCTCTATCTTTCCGAACAGCTCATTTTATAGGTGAGATTTCAAGTAATATTACTATATTTGTTTTTAATATTGTGGAAGTGAGGACTGCATGATGGCTAGGTCCGGGGTTCGTTCTGACCGTGACCAGCTCGCCAGTCACTCCAAACGGCTTTTATGGTCTTATTGTGCATGCCTCCCCTGCGTTCCCGGTCTTAACATATGGACAGGTCGACTGCCGACCAAATGTTTGAAAACCTTTGCTCATTGTCTAAAATAAGTACGTAAATATTCGAAGTACACAGAGTGTCCCAATAAAGCAATTCACTATTTTTCTACCATTTGCAGCCATGCAACAAAATGTGTTTTGAATCGTACTTTAATGGTATCGAGTGCTGTTCTAATGACGATAAAAAATTCAAAACATTATTAACGAATAATTCCGGATAGATTATTTAACTGTGATTAAAATAAAACATCGCATTGCATAATTACATAAATAAATAATTACGTATACAATCAAATGTAAGATGGTTTCAGCCACTTTTCACAAGACATCACCAGCAACAAAATTATTTAGTTTCGAGGAATAATTAGAACGTCACATCAGATCTCGATTCTCTGTTGTTTCAAACATCTAATACTATACCAGCATAGTAAAACAATGCACGAATGGCACCAAGTTTAATACTTAAAAGTAGTTTTCATCATCGAATGCTTGCAAGTTAGAATACTGCAACTATACTAAGAATCTTTGCGAATGATGAGATATAAATAAAATAAAGAATTATTTTTATTTCAACAAAAAGGCAAAACTGTGATCAATTATCCCACTTGTTCCCTTCCTGTTGCGAATCGAACTATACAAGTAATACTGAAAATAGTCTGAATTATGTCATGTTTGGACTTATTTTCATGAGGAAAAAAAAATCTCAATGAATTCATACCCTTTTTTATAAAGTACACTGAAAGGAGTAAAAGTTTAAATTTTTATTCGTGGGTGATTCGTTCTGTGTTACATTGTAACTCGAGCGTCGGTCACCGGCAGCTTTAGGGTGTCAGATAACATCTCGTCTCGCCGAGCCCGGCGTTCCTGCCTTTGACGGTAAATTGCCGCCTCGTGGCTAGCGTCTTTTAGGTTTGCAAATGTCTTTCTTTGAAGTCTTATTCGTGTAAATAACAAATAAAGTAAAAAATGAATAATCCCTGCTGCTTCACCAATAGCACGATATCTGAGTTGTATCTGACTGCGAAATCTAAATATGTATCAGGTCTAGTAATAATTAGTGTCGTTTTTTAGTGTTCGTTTAGAATCCTGCTTGCCGCTAACTTCATCAACATAACCTACAAACGCGTGGTACATACAAAAAGTGTGAAGCGTAATTAACAAGTTTTGCTGCGAAAAGTTTGTGTTCGAACTGTTTTACTTTGCGAAACTAGGGTTAAAGGATGGCAGATGAAGAGCATATTCGGCATTGCATGCTTTACGAGTTCCAGTTGGGAAGAAAAGCAAATGAGGCTGCAAAAAATATCTGTAGTGCTTTTTGTCAAGATACTGTTGGTTTAAGAAATTTCGCGAGGGACATTTTTCGTTGAATGACGAGAGTGGTCGAGGCCGTGTGTCTAATTTTGATCAGGAAGCACTTCAGGCTCTTTTGGTTAGAAATCCTCAAATAACGCAACAAGAGCTTGCGACAGCTTTAAACTGTTCGCAAAAAACTATTTGCAATCAATTGCGGTCACTTGGTAAGGTCCAAAAGTTTGGAAAGTGGGTTCCACATGAATTAACCGAAAACAACCGCAATCAAAGAGTCACAATCTGCAGTTCGCTCCTCTCTCGTTAAAACCGATTGCCGTTTTTAGAGCAAATTGTTACCGGAGATGAAAAATGGGTGCTTTATGTTAATCTGAAGAGACGGCCACAATGGTTGGACAAAAGCGAAGCGCCGCAGCCCACGCCAAAGCCTGACTTGCATGCGAAAAAGGTGATGTTGTGTGTTTGGTGGAATTTTAAAGGAATTCTTCATTATGAACTCTTACCAACCAACCAAACCATTACAAGTGAAGTGTATAGTGCACAATTGGAAAGGTTAGACCGAGCTTTGAGAGAAAAAGAACCCGCGCTGATTAATCGGAAGGACGTAATTCTTCATCACGATAACGCACGACCGCATACTGCAAGAATCACGGCGGAAAAACTACGCCAGTTGGGATGGGAAGTTCTCCCACAACCTACATATTCTCCAGATATTGCCCCATCCGATTATCATTTGTTTCGTTCCTTCCAAAATTTTCTTCTTGGAAAACATTTCAATAATCAAGAGTGCCTCAAAAACGCCTTGACCGAATTTTTTGAATTAAAATCACAAGAATTTTACAATAGAGGGATTAAGATGCTACCTGAGCGTTGGGCACAAGTAGTTGAAAACAACGGCGACTATATCGTTGATTAAATTGTTTTGTTTTGTTTAAATAAATTAGTTTTAAAAATGTATTGGAAAACGACATTAAATATTACTAGACCTGATATATTACAAATGAAACTAGTTGAAAAATGAACGAAATTATAACGTTATTTTTCAAGAGAACGGTCGATTTCGACCCATAGTTCCTTTCAGACTTTTTATCCTCACAATGTATAGAGTATGGAATGAAACAAATTTGACCTTGTAATTCAAGATCAAGGTAATTTTGCGACACCATGTAGCTATGGTGGCTGCGATATGTAATTTCTTGAAAGCTTGTACGAAAGTAACAAAATAACATTTGCATCTTTCTTGTCGACTAATTAATAGGCAGATTAATTCTCACCGTTTGTAACGAGCATTATTATGCAGCACATGCCGATAAACGAGGTACTGTTAATTAAAATTCATCACGTTCTTCTTCTGAACTAGCAGCCTTGAGAAATTAAACGCGGATGAATTTTAACAGCGGGCGCAATCTGATAAAATTGCATGAAAAGCTACGATCACGATAAAGATTTTCGTTCTCGGGTTTGGTCGGCGAAAGTAGTGCAACCGATGCGCAGGAACCGAAGAAACGGAGCCGCATCATTTCTATTCCGCATCTGCTTATATTTTGTGCCTTATAATCAGGGCACTTGAAACGATACTTGTTTCATTTACATTCATAATTGTTGTCCAACGTTCTGCACAATTTTGTCTCAGTAAACAGTTGCGAAAGCATCAGTTTAAAATATATCGTCGTATAAATGAAAACAATAATTGTAGATTATTTATCGACACATCTAGAGGTACGTTCCCAGCGAAGTTGATAATTTATTAGTAAAGACATATGAAACAACAACGATGTACGTAGTTATTTTCACACGTAGAAATGCATTCGGCAAGCATTGGCGTAACTAGGATTTTTGTCTGGGAGGCCAGGTCCCCTGACTTCTCATCAGGCACCTGTACGTATTTTGTACTATTTATACATTGTACGTGGGTTGCAGAAAATAAAGTTACACATTTTACAATAATTATTTGCATATTTATTTAACACCAAAACTAAGAATAGAAAGATATGAACATAATTCTAAAAAATAAAAAAAAATTGAGATTGATTAAAAGCAAGAGTCTATTGTGTGCAGATACCTATAGTTAAAATCTATCATATATAAGCTTCAATTTGCTGGTTTTTTATGCAAAAATATTTTTCGCATTCTCGAGCGCTAGTCCCATTATTGCACCGGCCCTTCAATTGATGTCACAGGATTATTAGTTACAGTAGAATATTAAAATTAAAGAGCTTCATTCTAATACAATTGTACTTAATACTTTCACGTAATGAGGATAGTACTGTTTTTTGTTGTATTTAGTTGCATTGCGTATTGTATTTCGGCCCAAGTATTTATTTTTTATAACAAAAGATTTTAGTAACTGACGAATGTTTTTTGGCATATTTGAATAATATCTTAATGGGAGGCTAGTCCGTATTTTGGGGAAGTCAGGCCCACCCTGGCCCCTACCTAGTTACGCCAATGTCGGCAAGTACTACTTTTAAGGGGTCATGCTTAGTCAGGAGGCCGAAAAAAGAGTGTTTTTTGGGAATTCTTTTCTCAAAAACTATGACCTTTTACAAAAAATCTGTTTGTGTTTCAAAGATTACAGCTTCTAGATTATAAAGTAATTTTTTTATTTAGATATATGTATTAGCAAATAAATGGTGAGCAATCTTCCGGATGTCTCTTCACAAAAAGTGGTCTGCCGTGATCACTTAATTTCGTAACGATTCATCTGAAATTAAAAATTCAGTAAGATTTATATAATGGAAGAACCAATCTTGTCCTTGAACGTGGGGTTTTTCGAAATATTTATTAAGAACAAAATGGCGGACATTTTCCTGAAAAGTGCGATTTTCACCTAAAAAGTCACTCGTTTTTGGTCAATTAAAAAAAATACGGAACGAAAAAAAATCCTTCGTTCAAGGACAAGTTTGTCTGATTTAAAATAAGGCGCAACAGGTTTCATGTTAATCGACACAGTAGTTTTCGAGAAATATTGATCACCGATTTGAAAAATGTAGTTTCGAGAAAAACGCGTTTAAAGTTTCAAGTCAAGCTTACACTTATATAAAATGTTTATATTTTAACGCCCGTAACTCTGTCATTTTTAATTGGACTACCTTGAAACTTGCACAGAATATTCTCGAGATGTTGTGCTTCAAGAAAATGTAGAAAGTGAAAACTCGATTTTTGAAAAATTTCTGACTGAGCATGACCCCTTAAAGAAAAACCATTAACATTACAGAACGTTCTTAGCGTAACAATAACCGAAGAAAGATGAAGTGCAGTTGGAGTGAATGCTTTGAACTCTGTACTATAGTTATGCCGTTACAAACACTTCACATTATCAACTGTCCAAATAGCCAATTAGTTAATTTTGTGTTTGAATATAAAAGTGCTCGAGCCGATAATGAAATACTAAGCTGCATGAAAGTTTTCCCGAATAAATGACCAATAGGACATTTACTTTACAGGAATTAGCTTACCGATTTTTTAAGATGTTGCACGATAATCGATGAAAAGATTAAAAACTTCGCAATGTCATGTGTTGGTATTGCACATATATCAACTGCTGCTCACTATGCGCATAATAATGTACGTGTGCATATATAAAAGAAGGTGATGCTTAGCCACATCATTCTCTCTATGAAACACGCTCACAACTGGTGACCCCAGTCAGTTGAAGTTTTCAAAACCGAGAAAAGTTTGTATTCAACATTGATTTCCATAAGGACTTGGAAGAATCATAAGAGCGTACATCGTACAGAACAAGTCAATAGCAGATTGTAACCATGGGTCTGATGGAAGTGTATCACCGCTATAACACAGAGCTCGCTGGTAAGTTAAGAGACTTAACACACTCTGGACCGAGTGACTCTTGTTCGTGACATAACTGAGATATTATAATTTCATCGTGCATAAAATAAATCGAGAATAAGAAATAAATTTTTATTCATAGCCATTAAGAAAACGAAGTTCCAGTATGATCAATTGCAGAAGTATCAGTGCTCCAATCAGATGTTACAAGTGACACGTATTGGCACTAATACATTAGATGTGTATACATTATTTATTTAAAATTGTCACTTTTATTGCTGAGTGTTGTCACGTTTTCATTAGGTCCGGAGTCCAATAGCGCAAAGTCGCATATCCTGAAATTTTCTCTTGATACTCTACTGCGCGAGTATTCCTTCTGTGCAGAGCTGAAAAGAAGTCCAGCGAAAGGGATACGGGGCACGGGGGTTCCGATTGCTTGCGGTATAATCTCTTCCATATAGCACCGACATTTCGGACGCACTGTGAAAACAGAGCATACGTATTTTTATTATTGGCTAAAATTGGTGACATCCAAGGATCGTATATCATATAGTGCCGCGTGTCGAGAAGAGTGACTGGGACCCATTGAGATGAAGTGAGATAAAGCAGCATGGTTATTCCACGCGAAATCGGATTTTGTTCAAATTCGGATATATTGCAGTCTTTATTGATGTATAAACGTTTCTGGAAGAATTTTTGAACATTTTTTAAACTGTAGATTTCACAGCTGTTTGAAATGTAGGGTCAATCTTTTTTCAATAAATCATAACTATTGACCTAACGAACTGATCAAACTGAGCTTTGTGGATACTCACAGTGGAGACATAAGAGTACCAAATAAAAATTATTTCAATTAAAAAAAAGTATATTTTAACCATTTATTTTGCAATTGTTTTAAATAAATGCCCTGCTTTTATAACGGGGAACTATTTAAACTTTTGAAAACAATGAGAATATAGCCCTATTTCTTCTCGTTAGGTAGGTACATGTCTTCAAAAAGATGGACACTGTAAAATTGGCCGTATGAAAATTAATTCAAAATCAACAATTTTTAAAATGTTCAAAAATCCTTGGAGGAACGTTTATAGATCGCTAAAGACTACAACATATCCAAATTTGAGCACAATCCGAAATGGTGCTTCCAAAAGTGTTCGATTTCGCGTGGAATGACCCAGTAGCGAGTGACCATGAACTTGAAACAGATGTCACAGCTGCTTGGTGTGACAATTACTAGTACGAAATACAAGTTTTCTTATTTTTCACAATAGTCTTATTAACAATATGATTAGGTCTTCCGAATGAAAATGAGTTTGAATATAACCCTCAACAAGTTATTTATCAATTTATAGATATCATTTAAGACTTATTGTTAGTGTGACTTACGTATTATCAAACATAATTGGATCGAGGTCGATATTGAATTTTGAGCGATTCATTGGACACTTGAATTTATCGGTCTGGTTTATCATCAGCTATCTTGCTGTGAACAAACGTGTGGCCGCCGTTGCTTTATTTCACTCACTCTCAATGCTTTCGTTTACTTTCTTCGTCACGCAACTTTACTTCCTAAATACGAATATCGAAAATGGAAGGTGGAGCTAACGAAATACTTCCCTTGCCCCTGTGACGCCGGGAGACGTCTTTTCAGCTTTGCATTTCTGACGCGTCCAGTCAGTTCAGGTTTCCAAGAACGGCCACAGATTCGATCGAAATCTGATTTCTATTTAACGACTCGGGAAGAACCTTAAGGGCATACATACTACAAAACCAGATAATAGCAAACTGTAATCATGGGTCTGATGGATGTGTATCATCGCTATAACATAGAACTTGCTGGTAAGTTACGTAACATAACATACTCTGGATAGACTGACTTTTGCTCGTGTCACACCTTAAGTATACAGGGGGCAATTGTTTCAGATCATAGTGCCGTTATTAATGCATTTATGAAAAAATGTCGAAGGAGAAAGATAAATGGCTCGAAGAGCACTACAGCTGTAGGCCCTCAGATTTTTTTTAAGTGCAACATTGCATGTGCAATTAACAATTGCATCATTTCTTTAAATGAAAATGCATACTGTTTGTTGCACAGATCGATTCCTCTGTTCATTCTACGTAAAAAATTATTAGGGTACCATGGCAAAAAAGTTATTAGTTCTCGTGATATTTTCAAAAAATGTCTTTATTGAAGAAGATGCTCAAACGCTTCTCCATCACATTGTAAACATTTCTGATAACGTTTGTTTATTATTTCCGTAACTTTGTTTAAATTCCAGTATGATCCTTTCTCTCAGATCCTCCAAAAAATTTATAAACGGTATTTATATTGAAGAAATTTTTTGAAAATATCACGAGAACTAATAATTTTTTTGCCATGGTACCCTAATCATTTTTTACGTAGAATTAACAGAAGAATCGATCTGTGTAACAAACAGTATGAATTTCCATTTAAAGAAATGATGCAATTGTTAATTGCACATGCACTGTTGCACTTAAAAAAAATCTAAGGGCCTACAACTGTAGTGCTCTTCGAGCCATTTATCTTTCTCCTTCGGCATTTTTTCATATATGCATTAATAACGGCACTATGACCTGAAACAATTGCGTGGACCACCCCCTGTATAGTATTATAATTTCTTCATGCTGCATGCACTCCAAGCTGTCATTACTTCTAGACGTGATAGTCCTTGACTTACAGGTGACCGATGACACTTTATTTATTCCAAATTTAGTTACACTATATTTATTTATAATTATGTGAATTATTAACAATGTTTTTGTCACGATCGGTCGACACTGACGTGGCGGTTATGGACGATTGCTGTTACACTACCCTTAAGTCAAGAATCCATTAAACGAAGTTGTATATTCTTATTTATTTGTTTCTTGCTCTCCTGCGTGATCATTCCCGTGAAAACAATTTGAAAGATGTCTGCTTTCGTGGTCGAAACTGTGGATCCCGAGATAAGTACTTAATTTTCAAAAATGTCATACATATTTACAGTGGGTGTAAAAAGTATTCGTACACCCTTTAAAACGGAACAACTGCTTTTAAAATTGGTCCAAATGACTTGAGTTTTTTTGTGAAGTTAGAGACATTGATTTACTAAATGATGTGAAAAAAAATATTTGAAAAAGTTGCAAATGGTCAGAATCGCGAAGAAAATATTAAAGGTCGTGTTTTACAACTTTTTAATCTGAGGCTATAATGAAAATTTAATAAATACATATCGAAGATTTACGTTAGTTATGTACATACTGAAACTTTCATTGAAATCGGTTAATACAGAAACGAGCGACAGACATCAAAAGATGTGAAAATTGTTAGATTTACTGCAGTTGTAGATCGAAAGTCGGGAAAAACTGTGATTTTCAACATTTTTAATCGATTGTTTCTCGTAGCAACGTTAACCGATTTTGATGAAATTTTCAACATGTATATAACGAACATAAATCTTCGATATGTAATTATTAAATTTTCATAATAGCCTCAGATTAAAAAGTTGTAAAACACGACCTTTAATATTTTCTTCGCGATTCGGACCAATTGCAACTTTTTCAAATTTTTTTTTCACATCATTTAGTAAATTAATGTCTCTAACTTCACAAAAAAAACTCAAGTCATTTGGACCAATTTTAAAAGAGTTGTTCCGTTTTAAAGGGTGTACGAATACTTTTTACACTCACTGTATATCGAGAGATCTGATGCGTTGAGAAGTAGTAGCGTTAGGACATGAAAGGTCTGATTTGTTTTATTATCGTGAAGCCCTGTGAACTTGAATTTCTGGACAACTTCAAGATGCGCTTAGGCTAATTCATAAGCCTTTTACTAATTTTTCAACAAAGGCAGATTCCAGGAATGAGGGACAATGTGGAAGGACAAGCACGGAAGCTTCTCTTTTTTTTTCTATCCTGGTTGGATGTGACAGCCAAAAAGGATGAAGCTACCAAATGGCCCTAAGGAATCACCAAAATTTGTTATTAGCATTTAACCAATAGAAAAGAATAATCATTCTTCTTAGCAATTTGTCCCATCGTCATATCCGACTAAAATCGTCAGTCGAACATTTCCATTATCTCCTTTAATACTTTTTTACTTTAATACAGTGTTATTTGTTAACACAAAGCATTTTTTTCATATCATACTAACTATTTACACCTAAGATAATTCGATGTGTGAGCTGAAATTAAAAAGTGTTCTAAGAAAACTTTTAATTTGCTTTCATGTACACACACTAAATATACTTTAGTGAGTTTGGAGACAGTTTCAGAGCTAATAGTAAAATCGGAAGAAAAATATCACCAACCGTTTCGAGATGACCACGGAATATCGACTACAAATTTAACGTTCAAATAAAGGATAATTCAGTTCTGAACGATCGAGGAAAAGGACGTCTGTGCCATGTACCCTCTAAAACGTTCAGTAGTGTTGAATTTTGTTCAATGCGTTATTTGCAACGTGAAATCACCCATCACGAATCATCAAACACCATTTGCTCTCCACTTTGAAACAATCACCTAATGTGAATTTGACTATTTACTATTTATTATTGTTACTTTATTTACTATTTATTTTTCAACATGAACATGTCTTACATTTTCTCAACACCTGTGTGTTACAGACGAAAGGACGAATGACTGGCTACTGATTAGTTCACCTGTACCTCTTACAATTCTCTCGATAATCTACCTCTATTTTATCTTATACTATGGCCCGATTTACATGAAAGACAAGAAGCCATACTCTTTCAAAACATTCATCTATTGGTACAATATATTCCAAATCGTAACGAACTTTATGGTAGTACAGCAGGCATTAGCTACCGGATGGTACGAGGATGGATTTATGTATTGCACTAAACTCGATTATTCCTATGACTACAAACCGTACAAGGTATAACAGAAAAATTAATCTTTTTATCAATCGTTGCTTTGTAACGTAAGCGGCCGTCAATAAGTCACTGGATTATTGAACGATAACCGGTTTCAAGATAATAAATATTTATATTTCAACTGACAAGAATTTCACAAAACACAAACCAGTATTAGTATTTCCCACCGCAAGAATCTTTGCTAATTGATGAGACAATACTGAAGTAAAAAACAATAATGAAAGTAACATAATGAAAGTAGTTCTTTTTCATAGGATCTCAGTGATTACGTACAAATAAAGTTTAATAGATTTTGAACGTAAAAAACTTCTCACAAGAGATACATATCATTTTAGAAATTTAATATAAGTCAGATATAAATGAAACTAATCAGTGATCGCGTGAAAATGCGTCTAGACTCAAGATAAATTTGGTAAAAATTTTGACGCAAGCTTCATTTAGAAATTGAAACAGCACAAATGTCGATGTCTTTAGTAATCATGACTAACTGTGACTGGCAATCCATCATCGACACAAATAAAAAATGACACTAGTATATGTGGAAACTAAACAGGTTTGCTCGGAATTCATCGTTCATCGGAAACGATAGCATATTTTTCCGGTACAATAGAACTCCACGTATTTGAACTCTTTGAAGGACAGACAGTTCATATAATCAGGCCGTTCAAATAATAGGAGTCCACCTATTCTCCCGACACTCTACAACTGTTCGTTCAAATAATAATAGGAGTTCACGGTCAAATAAGTAAATTCAATCACACATTCAAACAATTATACATCTTTTCTGTTTATATCAATTTTAAATACCATGTTTTGAAAATAATTTATTAATTAATTTATTAATTACTTTATTAACCCTCATCCGTCACTTGTGTCAAGTTGACACAGTTTTCTCTTAAGAAATTACGTTATTCTGTTATGTGTAGGTAAATTTAGCTGAGGCTTCGTGATTTTTACTTTACGGAATTTGCAAATTTAACTATTTATCACTTCATTGTATTAATTTTTACAACTGGATCAGTTTGATACCAAGGGACAAATTAAGTTTGGTTAATTATTTAGTAAATACAAAAATTAGTGCAAAGTTAATACAAAAATAGTTTTTTTATTTTTATTCATGCCATTTATTGCCGCTTCCACTTAATATTTCATTATTTCGAGTTCATTCTTTTTTATATAACACATCTTTGGCGTTACATTATTATATTCTTTGGATATTGCAAAGTTATAAAACTTATTAGAAAAACAGATAGAAAAATGTTATTTAACGTGATGATACATAACATTTTTCGTGTTATATAACAAATTATATGTTATCTATCTAGTGTGATGCCATTACTAATAATGCGACGTGAAATGTTATACAATCATGTTACAGACTTGTCTGAAAGGTATTGTCTTGTAACAAGTTATAACAACATGTTGTATAACACTGTTTTGCTGTATAGTGTAGACGCAGCTTAATATGTTTTCTCCTGGCTCATTTTTGTCGAGTGGATAATGCTAATGGCAAAGAAAACGAAATATTGTTACAGATATGGCCAATGAGAAGGAGAATTTGCATATTATGATCTTATCTTGAAGTGAAATAAGTGAAAAAGTAATAGGGCTGATTCCACTCGCGCTAATCTGAACTATAAGGTCAATGTCCCTATTTCTAATCACGTCCCGATTTCTGCTCAGTACGCATATTTTTTATTTAACACTGGAACTACCGACGATAAACGCATATTTGCTTCGATCGGTGGATAAACGTGAAAAACCTTTGAAAATTTAGAAATTTAGAAATTGACTAATTTCTTCACTTTCATATCGTAATAAAAAGTGCAAAAGATCTGAGAAAATGTATTGTCATAACATTTTAATCGTCGTTGTAAAAGTGTATTGACAAATCATTTTGACTGGCTTGGTAGTTCTAGTGTTAATGTGAAAAGTTAAATAATAAATTAGTTCAGTATTTCAATAGGTGGCAGCATTTTAATAAAAATAAATTTAATAGGTGTGTCCGTCGTAAGAAAACGTGATTTGAGCGGTTCCGTTGCGATTGTAAGTTACACGTGGACCTTTCATTTTTACTAAAAAAAACTTACGGAATCTTTAATGTTGTTCGCCAAAGTTTGGTTTTGGCACATTCATTTTCACTGACCAGAAATAGGAACACGCTCGTGAGCAGAAATGCGAGTATTTTCATTTTCACTGAGCAGAAATGGGGACATTTTATACTTCATATTAAATTAACTATTATTAAGTTCAAATGTTTTTAAAAATACTTTTATTTGAAATTATTAAAAAGAGACGTTTAAATTTTACGTTTAATAAGTTTTTTTGTCGATTGTTGCATAAATAAATAATAAAAATCAATTTCTGCGATAGCAAAACTCTTACATGTTTAAAAATAGGGACATTGACCTTACTATACGGTGATTCCCTCGCTGCGCAAATCAAAGGACGTGCTGCTCTAAAGAACCTCCGTTTTGCCGCGTGTATGTGTGGTCCCGGGACGTTAACAACAGTGAGGACCGATCGACAAATAATTTGCGCAGCGGGAGAATCACCCTGTATATTTTGTATGTGAGTAAACTCATGAATCATATCATTTCCAGATGACGAAAATATTATGGTATATATTCTGTCTGAAAGTCATCGATTACATTGAAACTATATTGTATGTGCTCCGAAAAAAATATCGGCAGATTTCAGTGTTACACGTGTACCACCATATTTCAACGGCGTACATTGTTTGGGCAGTGGTGAAATACTATCCCAATGGATACTCAATGACGTTTGCTATGGTTAATTGCACGGTACACGTGATAATGTATACTTATTATTTACTGTCCTCCTTCAGAGGAGTCGTGCAAAAGATAGTCCAACCAATTAAACCTATAATTACCATGGTTCAAATGGTAAGTAAATAATAATTCCCTAAATTAACACTAGATTTACCAAATCAAGTAAAATATTAGCTCAGTAATGTCTCATAAAAATTTGCCGAAATTTGGACTAATTTTAAGTGCAACATCTAATTGAAGATATCAGTTTATTAAATTTTATTTTTCGAAAATCTATCATTTTTATAACTTCAGTAGGTATAGGTACAGTTAAACGATTGTTCCATTGTTCAAATATTTTGCAAGAAAATTACTTTCCACAAAGAATGTGTCTTATCGACACTTGCCTCTCCGAATCTTGTATTTACCGTTTTTCGTTTACCAACAGATACAATTCGTGGGCCTGATAACGTACGGGTTACAAGCGTTCAAACCTGGATGTTCCGGGTCAAGTCTCGCAGCCACCATTATGATCACGAATTTGTCGGTTAATCTTACACTGTTCGCTAATTTCTACAGACAGAATTATCTGAAGAAAAATAAAAAGAGTATAGATTAGAATCTTTTTTAAAAGAGTACAAATATTTATGAACACATTTGACAAATACGGTGGATAACGTTTCCGCCAAACAAAACCAGTATATATCCTTCGTCGCATCCAAACATTTTAACCGCTTAACCCACACAAACCATTGTCCGTAACGCTTAGTTGGTAGGTGCAGCACGTTGCATAACTACATAGCATTGTATCTACAGGGTGTCAAGAAATTACATGTCGCAGCTACCATACCCGGATTCTACACCTTTAGTTTGGTGGTGATTAGAGATGGCGTATAATATCAGTAACGGTGATTTATCACAGTGATCGCCGAATCACGATCACAGCCGTGATTTAACTTCATTCACGACCGTGATTGCGATTTTTTGTATCTTGAGTGAATTTGCTCACTGCGATCGTAAGTCCTTAATCTTTAAACAAAAAAACGTATTTAATATGATTGAACGATGAATCACATTACTATTTGTGTTTTTTAAAATTAGTAGAAAAAACAAGAAGTTTTGAAAGAATGATTTGCTAGGCAGCATGTAGATTATAATTTATAATTATTAATTTATTCACTATTCTACATTGTTCCTAATTATTCCTTCACTTTATACGATATAACTCGAATTTTTGGTCCGATGACGTTAATATAAAATATATAGGTTATGTGTCGCGTGTAAAGAACTGTTACGTTTTTCCACCAATCAGAAACGATCACGAAAAATCACGAATCACTGTAAAAAATCATCGTGTTTGGAAACGAACGTGATCGAATCACTTCTGATTCACAAGTAGCAGTTCACACCATCTTTAGTGGTGATTGGAGGTAAGAGCGGTGCCGTAAAATTGACCTTCGCCTTGAATTTCAAGGTCAACATTTTTTTCATTGCATCATATTCTACTCGTCGCGAGGATAAAAAGTCTGAAAGGGACCATGGCTAGGAACTGAACTAATTCTCTTGATAAAAGATATTAAAGCTTCATTAGTTTTTAAACTGATTTTATTTATAATATGCATAGGTATTTACATCTTGCAGTCAACTAGAAGCAGCAGTGATTTTTCATCTTTAATTTTATCTTTTATTCGAATGCTTCAAATAAAAACTCCGAATAAGTTTCAGCGGTGCGTTTAATCGAGATGTCGAACGCCGAGCGTCAACGATTTGGGATCGACGCTGGCCACTTCAAGAAGTGAAACAATGATACATATGCAATGCCCCGTCGATAAAAGCGTAGGTAATAGAGATGGCGTGAACTGCTACTTCTGAATCACGTGTGATTCGATCACGATCGTTCTCGATCACAATGATTTTTCATAGTGTGTCTATAAAATAAAGGAATAATGAAGAACAATGAAGAATATTGAAGAAGTTAATGATTATAAATTCTAATCTATATGTAACATAACATACATGTTGTTTAATTATAGCAAATTATTCTTTTATAATTTCTTCTTTGGCTGAACTTTAATTTCCCGGACCAAAAATTATTGACTTTCCTTTATATTATCCGGTAGTATTCAACGAGTGGAATCTAAAATTGCAAGATTTAAGTTTAGGAATCCACCGAGTCAAAAATTATGCGTATGGAAAACCAAGCATTTTTAGCGTACTTTACAAGTTAGTTTAATGCCATATTGACTTCTATACAAAATTCGTCCAATCACTGGTGTCACTACTTGTAAGGGGACGCACGTGTTAGCGGCCATTTTGGCGAAATAATTCAAATGTGCTTGCAACAAAGAATCACTTATTCAAAGCGAAATACTGATTACCGGAAGTTAGAGCCTGTTTACGGGAAAAACTATTCATTCAAAGCGAAATACTGATTCTGAGTTGGTTAGAGCCTGTTTACGAAAAAAAAAACATTTATTCAAAGCGAAATACTGATTCTGAGTTGGTTAGAGTCTGTGTACGAAAAAAGAAAACATTTGTTCAAAGTGGTTTTTTCCCCGTAAACAAGCTCTAACCACGTTCATCACCTTACAAGCAGTGATACGAGTGACACCATTGATTGGACGGATTTTGTATAAAAGTCAATTTGGCGTTAAACTAACCTGTAAAGTACGATAAAAATACTTGGTTTTACATACGCATAACTTTTGACCCGGTGGATTCCTAAATTTAAACCTTGCATTTTCAGATTCTAAAAGTTAATAATTTTTGGTCCGGGAAAGTAAAGTGAGGTGGTGACGTAGAGAAATGAATTAATACACTACTATAACTATGCTAAAGTTTATTTACACTTACTTACTAATATATACACATAAATTCCGAAAGGAATTAATAATGTTAGTTTCCCAACACACAATGAAAACTTGCCCTATCGTTACGGGTAACGAAATAGTAAGTAACTTTACTCGGCGAGTACTCGTGACTGAATGCACCCAGCCTAACCCGCTGTCTTTTCGGGGGAGGAAAAAAACCCTTAAAAGATAAAGTTCCCCCGACCACTTAAACAGAAATTTTCCTGTCGCAACGAAAATCCTTGCGCACAGCTGCAAACCATTTTATTACCTTCGAAACCTTGAGCTCATCGGCTCGAGGGCTAAAATGATCAGCAACCATGCGCGGACGTCCCACAGCCAACTACCCGACTGTGTACGCTACAAAAATTTAACCTCTTCTTTTTCTACTAATTTTTAAACACACAAATAGTAATGTAATTCACTTTCAAATCATATTGAATATGTTTTTTTGAAAGACCAAGAATCACGATCACAGTGAGCAAATTTATTCAATATAAAAAAATCACGGTCACGGTCATGAATGAAGTTAAATCGTTAATCTGCGATCACTGTGATTAATCACTGTTTAGTGATTTTGTCACACCATCTTTAGTAGGTAAACAACAAAGTTCTTGAAAACGATAGTTTGGTCCTGAAAAGGTTAAAGGCAGAGTTAAACACAATTTTACTGGAATACAGAGCTCTCTCGATTATTGTCCCAAACTCGGGTCCGCGAGGGAACGATAATCGTGGACTACGCGAAACACTTCTGACCCTCGTGAATACGTTTTTTACCCGAAGCTCGAGCCTCGGCAACTCGCCATTGTAGTATTCCGAACGTAGAAAAGGACAAGCCAGTGAAAAACAGAGAGAGAGAGTTTCATTTCCTACTCGACTCGGCTACGTGGCCCGCCTGCGACGCTCTCGTCAACCAATGGTTACATTATAGCTGACCACACAGTCCGATTGTGTGTGTACCGTTTCGGCCAATAATAAAAATACTTGTGACTGGAGGTGATCTAGCTACATTTTATTCGTCGGCAGCTCTCTGGACAGTCGCTGACAATTGAACGCTTCGACTAATCATCGTCCATTCCCCTGCTCCATCCGTCGAGTCTATCGAGCGCATACATTGTTGTCCAGCGCTAATGCAACGATGAAACTTTTTTATTTTTGATTCGTTGTTAACGAAACTTTTATGAACATATTGGTGAAATTTTTCTGATTAAAATGATACCAAATATGACATAAATTGTATCATATTTAGTCATGTAGAAAGTGTTAATAGTTCATACTAGTTTATTATCGATTCTGATAAATCATAAGAAAATATGACCCAAATTGTGTCGTGCTTAGTATCATCTTAATCAGAAAAATCTCACCAATATGTTCATAAAAGTTTCATTAATAAAGAACCAAAAATAAAAAAGTTTTATCGTTACATTAATATTGTGTCACCGACACCCAGGAATGTAACCTTTTTGTGGGCTCCTAACGTTCAGTCGTCGGCTAGTGAACGGGAAGCCGGCTCGGCGGTTCGCAGGAACAAAGTGTGCGGTTGCCGAGTACCACGGCTCCAACCCCCCCCCCCCAGTGGTGGGGATGACGCCTGGACAATAATCGCATATCAATAAAGAGTCCATAATCGCGAAGAATCTGTACCTAATATGCGCAAGGGCACACATCGTGATACAACATTATGGAACAGAACCACCTGTTGCACTCACCTGTTGCCATTAATTTCATGGGCGTAACTAGGTAGGAGTTGCCCCACCCCCCTCAAGAATGTGGACTGCCCCCCCCCCCTCTGCCCAGAAATTATTGAAATATGTAAACAACATTCGTCAGTTAGTAATATCTTATGTTATAATTAATAAATACTTGGGCCGAAATGCAATACCCAACGCAAGGAAATTACAAAAAATACAATACCTCTTCTCAGAGCGAGTTACCAGGGTTAGTACAGTCCAAGTGTAACCCGGGTTACCGGGTTTCTGCTTATAGTTAAGAGTCGAACCGGGTTCGGGTTACGGTTACAATCCCTGCATGGTATAGAATACATACAAGTGCCTGATGGGATGTGTTATGGGCGATAGTCAAGGGACCTGCCCCCCCCCCACACACACAAAAATTGTAGTTACGCCAATGATTAGTATGCAGAAAAGTCATCATTGACCTATCTCGTGCCCACAATAATGCTTTAACTCTTTAGGGTTATGTGGGTTAAAAACTGTCCCACCTTTTGCTTAGCTTTTTAGGCATGGTGGGATATATTTTAACCCACCTCGAAAAGTTGAAGTTACTCATAGTCGTACAGTTTAATATTTTATTTTTATATAATTTTTTTATATTAAAAAAAATTCAGTGCAACTAGGATTTTCATTTTCTTTAAAATCGTGTGCCTTAAAGAGTAAACCTTTTCGTTTTTAACTGTGACTATGGTCAGCCAGCGTCGAGCATTCGCTGTATACTAACGGTGACTATAAAGGCTCCCACAAATCAACGCGAAATCTTCGCAGCGATAGCGAATATTTCTCGGCCATAGATTCGCAACAGTTTCAAATTCATGACGTTTTATGAGAGTGTTCACACAAATGCGAAAAAATTCCGCAAAAATTTATCTATAAAAAATCTATCACCTCGAATAAACGCTGCCGCTGCGAATATTTCGCGTTGATTTGTGGGAGTCTCTATCCAGGGACGTCTACTGAAACGTAAAATACCGGTATTATACCGGTATTTTCGGTTGTACCTTCGCCTTATACGTATAACCCTTGTTACAACGCATTTTGCGTCGCGCCCCTTCCGGCCCGAGATTTGAATTGGGCGCAGAAGAACCGTACTCTGCCGACTCGTACTCGCATAAATATAACATCGAAACGCTCCTGGAGGATTCGTAGGGGAATAATACCGACAACACTTTAAATTAATTACGTAATAATCTCGCGGCGGTCAACGCTCGCGCTTTCAGGGCCGTCTTTGACGGGGCCAGCAA